GAGACGAAGAGGTTATTATTGAAAATAATTACGGCTATTGCATTTAGATTTTTTCTCTGTTTTTACATCACTTTCCTTGTTAGTTTTATGTGCTACATGCAACCAAAAAATTAAATTATATCGGACTGCTGCTTGTCGATTAGGATTCAATATTGCAGCGCAATGCGGTTGTGAAGATGTACGGTATATTTCATGATGTCCATTCACTAATAAGGCATATGAAGTTGTGACGTACTTCGTTGCTCTACGCAAGAGCGGAAGTGTCACTTTCACGCCCAACACTACGGCGGTGCTCACGGTACGGATATCTCGAGCGCCAGTTTCTGTTTAGAGTGCAGAAACACCACTTTACTCTATCGGCGGGACGATAGAGGCCGTGCAACTACAGTGAAGAAACGGATAAGCCAGGGGTCGAGAAAAAGGCAACTTACACACTACAGTTAATGAAACGGCTCTTATGCAATATATTTACATTTATTCTACACACTAATTATTATTCACACTATATATACACCTTAGTTACTATCCTACGGCTAACGGTTCTTACATTACTAGGTTATTTACAACTTATACTACAACGGTCTTAACTAAGCGGGCAGCAGTAAGCGGGGCGGTCAAGCGGTGCGATATGGTAATCCGGTGACTCAAGCGGTGAAACGGTAAACAGCGATAAATTAATCGGTCATAAGCAGACGGCGGACGGATACCAGGAGGGGAAGCAAGCACCAATACAAGCACACTAAGACTATCTATTTACCAAACCTTGCTACCTACTTCCGGATACTGGGCTGCTTCCTCTCTGGAGCGGTCGGGGTCGGCACGTCTGGTCGGTACGGGCGGCAGCAACGGACTTTCCTCGGATGCTCTGAAAAATCCTCAAGCTACTAAACTCTGCCAAAAAGCAGAAGTAGGATGAGACGCGGTAGTCATGCGCGGAATATAGCAATACGTCACCCGAATTCAATTTAAACAAACCTATATCTTTATACTCACAACAAGTTTACTTACTATGCTGGTCGGCGTGGTGCTTCGGTTCGCGGTCAGACGGGGACTCACTTGTCTGAAAAATCCTCATGCTACTAAACACTGCCAAAAGCAGAAGTAGGATGAGACACGGTAGTCATGCGCGGTATATTACAGCTACGTCACCCGTTTATGGACTTAGAATAATTCCGCATTAAATTTAAATACCTACATATCCTTATACTCACGAGTTTACTTACTGAGCTGATCGGCGTGGTTCTTCGGTTGGCGGTCGGATGGGAACTAATTTGATTGTTTTCAGTCTCGGGCTCCTTCACGGTAGCGCGGGACACAATGCGCGCTTCGCGTTTCGCGATTTCAATATATGTACTGCCGGCCACTTGGCATATGTGGAATGTTCATAAAAAACATATCAATACTATCTATCTATAATTAACAATTAAACTGTGATTAATGATCAGCTGATAATACCACTTATTAAAAGCGCAGTACTACAATGGTTAAGATATTTTTCAAAACAGACAAATAGTACCTAGTTACCTAACTTAATTCTATAAAATAAAATCACTTCGTTACAAAGTAAATCGCAGACTTGTAACAGCTATGAGACTTTTAGGAGTCGGAAGAGAAGGTATAAATATATGCAATATGATGGATATTTGTCAAGGTTTGACAATCGTCACATACTACAGTTGCCTTGAAAATTTATATTTGGCAGCATCATCAGTTTATAATCAAATTATTTCAAAAGCTCTAGAAGAAGAAAAGGAATTCATATCAGCCTCTTATCTCGATGCTAATCCAACATATTTGATAGTTTCTGGAGATGGTACTTGGAAAAAAAGAGGAATCAATTCACTTTTTGGAGTTACTACGCTTGTAGGTAAATACAGCAAGGAAGTTGTCGATACAGTGGTGGAATCTAGTTTTTGCCAAGGCTGTAATCTATGGAAAAATATAAAAAAATCTGACGTCGATGCCTACGAATACTGGTACGAAGAACATAAAGATTCTTCTACAATAAACCACAAAGGAAGTGCCGGGAAAATGGAGGTTGACGCAGTAGTTGAAATGTTTGAGAGATCTGTACAAAAACACGGAGTCAAATATGTGAGATACATAGGAGATGGTGACTTAAAGACATTTAAAGGTATCCTCGACATCAATCCTTACGATGATGATCCTATAGTTGAAAAAAAGGAGTGTGTTGGGCATGTACAAAAGCGTATGGGTTCAGGGTTACGTAAAGCTAAAAGAGATAATAAAGGTATTGGCGGCAGGAGTACCGGTAAATCATGGATAAAATTATCAATGAATTATCTTCATGTTATGGCTTGGCTATTCGTCGGAATCCAGATTCAATTGAGAATATGAAAAGAGTCATATGGGCAACTTACTTTCATAAGAGTTCAACCGATGAAAACCCTCAGCACATGAATTGCCCATATGGTCCATCCAGTTGGTGCAAATGGCAAAAAGCAAGGGCACTCTTGATGACTTTGTCCACGAAAATCCCCCTCTGAATGTCGAAGTATTGAAAGTTATAAAGCCAATCTATGAAAGTTTGTCTGCAGAAACCTTATTAAAACGATGTTTGGGCTCAGAAACTCAGAATAACAATGAATCGTTAAATTCATTGATATGGACTTTAGACCAAAACATATACATGCAGGAACACGAACAATTAAAATTGCAAATTATATAGCAATTTGCATTTTTAATGAAGGCTTCATACCCGTTTTAAAAATAATGAACTTAATGGGAAATACAATTTGTCTGGAAGCTCATGCGTTTGCTGTCAGGCGGGACAAAATTCGGATTGAACGCTCTGAAATCTGAGCTTCTGATGCTTCAAAGGAAGCTAGGACTGCTCATCTAGCAGAAGGAACTTCAGAAAATGTACAATTTGAAGTAGAAGACGGTCCATTGTATGGAGCAGGAATCGCCGATTAAGAAAGTATAACGTACCGTTCTATGAGTTAGACTGCCTGAAACTATATTCAAAACTTGAAACGCTTTTTTCTCGAAACTACTTTTTTCAACACGGCTGACATGATATCTCAAGTTCTAACAAACCGATTTACTTAAAATTTGGTATGAACCTTCTTTATATATCCCTCTATAGCCCCTACCAGAATTAAGTGAAAATCTTGATTTTTACTATTTTTAAAAAATTCCGAAAGTCAAAAGAACAGGTAAAAAATCGACCTCTTTTTTTCAAACAGGCGCCATTTTGCGAGAAAAAAATTTTTTTCTTCTCTGAGGTAGGGGCTACAACGACATCCTTACTAATTAAGAATCTTTTTTTTTTTGTTTCAGATGACTGGAAGGGTTGGAATCGTGTCAACCAGGACACGTCCTTTTCTTTTACCCTCCACTTCGTCAGCCTGTAACTTTGTGAATTTTGAATTCCTTTTTTTTGATAATTTTTTTGTGTATTTTTAAAACATGAATAAATAAATGGTAAAGAAATGGATAATAAAAATATTTATTGGTTTTTTGTTATCGAGCTTGAAAAATCGTCCTAAATTCGTGCCTATAGACTAGAATACCCCCTTATGTACAGGACGATTTTTTACGACCAGTAGTTTTATAATATATATGACATAAGACACATATCTGGCAAGGTCATACATTTTATTCTAAAAGTGCCAACGGACTGATAGTTGGAAATTAAATTGCAATCCCCTATACATAAATATTTGTTTTAAATAAAATTCAGCTTGTAATAACAAAACCCCCACAGAATTCAAAATAAGCACATTGAACGGCGTTAAAAAAAAATCGGAATTTCAAGAATTATGAATATATTCGTTTTCTGTAAGGTCGTCTTACTGTTTGTAAAAACTAGATAAATTGCACTAGAACAGAAAAAGTATAACGAACTTAATAAACGGAAGTAAATATTAAATTAATGTAATATAAATTGAAAACTTAGGTGGTAATGAGAGAGCAAGTACAAATTAAAATCAAATATTATTTAAACTAACGAGAATTAAATTCTGTTACTACGTGACAGTATCAGAGAAGAAAAATAAATGTAATTCCTTAAATATCCAGTTGCAACGCCAGTAAAGTAGATCCCATTAACAAGATTCGCTCTGCAAAATGAGATTATTAGTGACGTTTTTTGAATAGGAAGATAATTCAATGAAAAGCTGAAAATAATTTACTAATACGTTTTATTTCCTTTTCTACGTTTTAAATTATAATTTAAGTTCATTAATTTTTCTCATTAGTGTTAATAAAGAGCCAAATATGATGGGAATTACAATACCATAAAGAATTTATTTTTAAATATTAATAAAGAATAATTGCTTTATTGTGTTATGTCAACCTTTTACAATATTTTATAATCAGTTTTGAATCAAATTATGGCAAAAATTAATTATTTTGCGAAAAAACAGAGTAAATAAATTAGCACCCACGCAAATACTACGCTTGTTAGTTACACTTTTATGAATAAATTATGTATACATACAGGGTGTTTAAAAAATCCCAATATTTCTAGGGCAAATAAGCTTAATAAATATATGTTCTAATATGAACTGTTTTCCAGAAACTGAATTTTGAAATTTATTTTTTTTAACATGCTCCTTTAACACATGTATGTTTTTTTTAAACATCCTATATACAAGGTGGACTAAATTCGATGGCAGTTGGAGTTTTCAGATATAAGGAGTGATCCTTCAAAAAAGTTGATGGTATATCAGTGGCGTATTTTTTCGAGAGAAATTCAATGGCAAATTAAATTTGTAGCTATCTCTTTTTGTTTTCGAGTTGTTACTTGTATCCCATTTAACACGGAGGATTTTAAAAATGTTTTGTTTTGTATCCTATACAATTTTTCCCGAGGATTTCAATAAAATGTTTTCTTAACTACTTCTTAAGTCACCAAAATAACCCCCGAAAAATCCTAGGATTTTTTGTTGGGTAGAGATACGAGGCCCTACAGTTTATTGTGGAGTCCGAACCACATCTAAGGCGTTGACAAATTACAAATAAAATTGATAACTTGCCACAGGGTGGAATTGAACCATCAACGTTCGGTTCCATGTAAATAGCTATAAGCGCTTTACCACTCGGCTACCACGCCATTTATTGAATTTGGTCCACTCTGTATATACATAAATTCTTATTTTTATTTAATTTATATATATATATATATATATATATATATATATATATATATATATATATATATATATATATATATGATTAAATATGATTTGAAGGAAACAACTACTTAGCGGGCAAATACCCCGACCTGCATTGAATTACACCTTCAAATCATGATAGATCGATAGCCAATATCATTTGTCAATTCCCAACCAGACATAGATCGATTTCGAACTTATTTGTTCTCTTCAGTATGCCATAGGTTATGGAACAGACAAATGATAGTGGCCGACCTGCTAGTTATATACTAACTAAGGTGAAGTGAATAGTGGTGAGAGGTATGAAACTTCTCATATGGTCTGAATGCTACTATCCGACCGACATCCTAGATGTCTCTGTGACGGATAACGACTTGCATCACAGCAAGTACCGAGAGCGGCGACCCCTAGCCCAGGTGGACTAAACTAATGTGATTAAATATGATTTGAAGGAAACAACTACTCAGCGGGCAAATACCCCGACCTGCATTGAATTACACCTTCAAATCATGATAGATCGATAGCCAATATCATTTGTCAATTCCCAACCAGACATAGATCGATTTCGAACTTATTTGTTCTCTTCAGTATGCCATAGGTTATGGAACAGACAAATGATAGTGGCCGACCTGCTAGTTATATACTAACTAAGGTGAAGTGAATAGTGGTGAGAGGTATGAAACTTCTCATATGGTCTGAATGCTACTATCCGACCGACATCCTAGATGTCTCTGTGACGGATAGCGACTTGCATCACAGCAAGTACCGAGAGCGGCGACTCCTAGCCCAGGTGGACTAAACTAATGTGATTAAATATGATTTGAAGGAAACAACTACTCAGCGGGCAAATATCCCGACCTGCATTGAATTACACCTTCAAATCATGATAGATCGATAGCCAATATCATTTGTCAATTCCCCAACCAGACATAGATCGATTTCGAACTTATTTGTTCTCTTCAGTATGCCATAGGTTATGGAACAGACAAATGATAGTGGCCGACCTGCTAGTTATATACTAACTAAGGTGAAGTGAATAGTGGTGAGAGGTATGAAACTTCTCATATGGTCTGAATGCTACTATCCGACCGACATCCTAGATGTCTCTGTGACGGATAGCGACTTGCATCACAGCAAGTACCGAGAGCGGCGACCCCTAGCCCAGGTGGACTAAACTAATGTGATTAAATATGATTTGAAGGAAACAACTACTCAGCGGGCAAATACCCCGACCTGCATTGAATTACACCTTCAAATCATGATAGATCGATAGCCAATATCATTTGTCAATTCCCAACCAGACATAGATCGATTTCGAACTTATTTGTTCTCTTCAGTATGCCATAGGTTATGGAACAGACAAATGATAGTGGCCGACCTGCTAGTTATATACTAACTAAGGTGAAGTGAACAGTGGTGAGAGGTATGAAACTTCTCATATGGTCTGAATGCTACTATCCGACCGACATCCTAGATGTCTCTGTGACGGATAGCGACTTGTATCACAGCAAGTACCGAGAGCGGCGACCCCTAGCCCAGGTGGACTAAACTAATGTGATTAAATATGATTTGAAGGAAACAACTACTCAGCGGGCAAATACCCCGACCTGCATTGAATTACACCTTCAAATCATGATAGATCGATAGTAAATATCATTTGTCAATTCCCAACCAGACATAGATCGATTTCGAACTTATTTGTTCTCTTCAGTATGCCATAGGTTATGGAACAGACAAATGATAGTGGCCGACCTGCTAGTTAT